CTGTGCGACGCGTCAGACTACTGTGCATTGAACATCCACCCTTTCTTCGACAAGAATACCGCGGCCAAGGATGCTGGGCCTTTTGTGACCAGAATAGTAAGCCAGGTCCAGGCGAAGCTCTCGGACCGAAACAAGCGCATCGTCTGCACAGAGACAGGTTGGCCGTGGCAGGGAGACAGCAACGGCGCTGCGATACCTGGCGTCAGTGAGCAGAGGCTGGCTGTTGATTCAATCAAGGAGGCGTTCGCAAGCCACCCAGGGGATGTCATTCTCTTCTCGGCCTTCAACGACCTGTGGAAACACTCTGATGCCAGCACTTTCCACGCAGAGAAATACTGGGGAATCGGGGGAGTCTTGTCTGGTTCTAGCAAATAAGTCGATGCAGCCACTCATTTGGCCCTGGCTGCGGGCAAGCCGAGGACGACGAGATGAGGTTCTGCTGGGCTGATGGCGAGTAACCAATTCTCTAGCATCTATATTCGTATTGGCTTCCATTTCCATATCCCAACCGAAGTATCTGATGAGTGATGTCGAGGCACATGTTGCTCAGTCGCTCTTGATCAACGCGGCTTAATTTCGGATCGAGAGTAGATGGGACGACGGAAACACGCTACTGTGGACCCGCCCGGAGCTGTTCCTCGCATGATTTGCGCCATTGTGTGGTGGTGATGGCCCGACGGGCTGCTGAAAGCTCCGAGAACCCTTCTGCCATTCTGTTCAAATATTGAGGTGGCCTACCACACGTAGCCATTGGCTGTACGCTGGCACTCAAGGTTCCAAGCTTATGCAAGGTACCTCGACATATATCTGGCCTGCCAGGTTCGCCGACGCATCTCCAGGATTTGGCATCTAAGCCAGCAATATGCGGTGAATAGCGGCCACGAAATACCGCCTTGATCCCACCCATCCACCACTTTTCCTAGATCTAGGTTCTCACCTGTCTTCTTTTATTTCCGGCTCTGATTTTTTTTTTTCTTGGAAGAAACGACATCACATTGTGGCCTACCCCCCACCACCCTCCCTCCCTCTGCGTCTTGACGACAAAAAGCTACCCCTGCCAACCAGTCCTGTCAATAGTGCACGTTCGTTCAATTGGTTTCGAAACTCTGCTCGGGCAGTTCGCCATCATTCCTTCCTCTCTCCACGCATCACTCATATCTCTGGTGGTTCGACGGTATCTTCGAAGATTCCAATGGTTGGCTTTGCCGCCGCCGGAGCTGCCGCCATGGGTGAGGGCAATCGGGAAACCCCCAAGAAGGAAAGGGAATGCCCGTTCATGTCTCGACGCCAGGTCGAGGGCCTGATTGCCCAGGGACGCACGATCACAATCGTCGACCAGTTTGTTCTTCGGCTCGATGGATGGTTGGCCTACCATCCCGGCGGTGACAAGGCCATTCAACACATGGTCGGTCGAGATGCCACCGACGAGGTCACAGTGTATGTTCATCCCGTGGAGAGGTCTCTTGCATGGTCTTACCTTTGACGCTGGTGAAACTGACGCATACCTCTCCAATAGTTTGCACTCACCCGAAGCGAAAGCACAAATGAACCGGTATCGAATTGGCAGGATCGAGGGGCATTGGCGAAACTTTGTTCCTCCCATTCAGGGTGGCAAGTTCAGAACCTTGGAGGAAGGCGACCCAGACATCGACGATGCGGAGGAAGACGTCTCGCTACGCTTCTTCGGTCCCTCGTCTCCCAGTGACGTGAGCTCGCGGGAGGCTTCCCCGGTCTTCGATACCACCGACAGCAGCGTGCGGCAACGACGAGGTGCAGCTCAGAGCTCGAGCTCTGTGTCATCGGCAACTTCGGACTGCGGCGACGATGAAGAGATGGACGGCACTGCGTTTCTAGATTCGGAGACTCGCAAAAAAATCAACCTCGATCTTGACAAATACCCACCCCTCGACGATGAGACCCAGACCGAGATCGTGCGCAAGTACAGACTGCTGGATCAGCGCATCAAGGACGAGGGTCTTTACGATTGTGACTATCGTGCCTACGCCGTCGAAATGACCCGCTATACGCTCCTGTTCGTTGGCATGCTGACCTTTTTGCGTTGGGGCTGGTACGTCCCGAGCGCGGCCTGTCTAGGATGCTTCTGGCATCAGCTTGTATTTTCAGCTCACGATGCTGGTCATATGGGCATCACGCACAACTTCCACGTCGATACGTGTATCGGCATATTCATTGCCGACTTCATGGGAGGCCTTTCCATTGGCTGGTGGAAGCGAAATCACAATGTCCATCACATCGTCACCAACTCACCCGAACACGACCCGGATATTGAACACATGCCTTTCTTCGCCGTGTCCCACCGCTTCCTCGGCAACTTGACATCATCTTACTACGAGCGCATAATGACATACGACGCCGCGGCCAAATTCTTCCTGTCGATGCAGTCGTACCTCTATTACCCGATCATGTGCTTCGGCCGTTTCAACCTTTACAGGCTCTCCTGGGACCATTTGATTTTCAGGCGCAGCCCCAAGAAAGGCATTGCCTGGTGGCATCACTGGCTTGAGGTGGCTGGACAGGTTTTCTTCTGGGCCTGGTTCGGCTACGGTGTCGTGTACAAGTCTATCCCTAACAACTGGGACCGATTCGTTTTTGTGATGGTCAGCCACATCCTGCAGTCACCGCTGCACTGTCAAATCACGCTATCACACTTTGCTATGAGCACCGCCGATCTGGGTCCCCACGAGTCGTTCCCTCAGAAGATGCTGCGGACGACCATGGACGTTGATTGCCCGTCATGGCTGGACTTTTTTCACGGCGGGCTGCAGTTCCAGGTCGTTCATCACATGTACCCTCGCATTCCGCGCCACAACCTGCGCAAGACGCAGAGATTGGTGCAGGAATTCTGCAACGACGTGGGCATTCCTTACGCCCTGTACGGCTTCGTAGACGGTAACAAGGATGTCATCGGTCGCTTGGCCGAGGTGTCCCAACAAGCTGCCATATTGGCAAAGTGTCAAAAGGCTGTGGTCAAAAATGGTGATATCCTCGGTGGACACCACTAACAGCCCTCTCGTATGACTCTGGCCACTCGCTCTCCCAACCGACATGCACATGCGATTGGGGTTAGCGCAGCTACGACCGGTGTGGGATATGAAATGAACGAGAGGCGCATGTACGCAGAGCCTGTAGCGCCCAGCTAGATCGGTTATAACGTCTAGAACGAGATCGATCCGATATGTGTGACTGTATCGATGTTGCATGGCATGGGATTAATCCTCCGATCCGATTCGCTACACCCGTCGGAGACGGCCCTCTCCTCCGCCGCACCCACATGAGCGGGCATCATCTTCAACCGGAGCGCGTGTTGTTCGTTTCTTTTCCCGGGGGAGAAGAGGGCTGGCGTTAGGACAACAAGCAGGTTCGTCGGGCTGCAATCGTCAGTGTGAAAGCGCCGATCTTGTCTTACGTAGCCAATGGCAACTTGGCTAGATTACGCGGCGGTGAACTTTGCATCATGATGAACCCACACTTTTGTCCCTCACTTTTCCTCTCACCCTCTTGTACAGACGGCACGCATGTATTCCGATTTTCTCGCTCCAATCAAATGTGTTTCGAGTAAGACTGAGTACGATAATTCTCCCCCCAATCCCTGTTTGGCTCTAAGGCCATCCGCGATACTGGCCTCCACACACACACACACGCACACACACACACAAACGCGCGCGCGCGCGCAAGCAGGTCATCGATCCGCGGGTGCGATCCGATGCGATATATGCACGATGAACTCTTGAGAGGTCGCACAGGAACCACACCGCGTACCTTTGAATATTGAAGGAAAGGACGTAGGGAGGGTGAAATGGAGAAGGAGGAAGGCGGAATCCAAGGGTACTACTAAAAAGCAATGTGTTAGAGAGACTGCATAAGGAGGCCTCAGTCTCTGAAAACCAGCCGTTTCCTATAGCCAGGACCATCCAGCTGAGCCACCGGCATGAGACATGAAGTATGGACAGAGAGACAAGGGCTGTCGATTATGGTTCCCGCCTAGGCCCTCGGCCTGTTCTCCACCATCCTACAACGATACCACAGAGAAGCAGACGGCGGATGAATAGGAGCCGACGGTTTGTCCACCGTTCAGGGGTCCATGAGAATGACCGGAGGTTGAGCCGCGAGTGATGGGCGATGGCTACAGCTGGCCATCTTGTCATCGCCGTCAGTAGTGTACCCCGAGATCTCTTGGCTGCAGTTACGTTGATGCACCTCATCGGAGGGATGCGGAACAGCCAGCCGTAGGGAGGGCAGTTGAGAGCGGTCTCGAATCCGTCAAACGTCTGATGTCTTTCATGTTATGAGGTACTGTCAGAGCCATGTAGAAAAATCGGCGTTCTGGGCGACTGCCTTGTCCCTCACTGGCAGCCGAACACCTTCCTTCTCACAAGGGACAGCATTGGAAGGCGTCACTGTCCAGGGTACCGCCCGCCTTGAGACAACATGGGGAACAGGGTTTGGAACTGGCGGGAACTACGCCGTGTCCAAGCCCGTTGCCTCAGACCCCTACCATGCCAAAAAGACTTGCCCGACATGTATCGTGCATCTGGACCGGGATACTCAAGTCTGCTCTTGCTCCGAGAGATCAATTTGGCGCGTTGCTGTTGGCTACATATCGTACAGGATGAAGATTCCCCGGTGTGTCATGAGCAGAGCCTGGTCACGAGAATAATTCTAGTCTATGTTGCTGGAAAAGTATAAAGGACTAAGCCCGCAGGGGCAAGTTCAAGACGGAATCACAGCTCCAGAAACTACTCTTCTTATACTTCGAAACAACATTGAACCTGTCGAGACCGTGGTTTCTGAAGCAAACGTGCCACAGTTTTGCCGTGTACTTCTTTAATCGTTTCTTAATCCAAACATATACCCTCGAAGATAGAAACAAGACGGGCACCTTGATCGGTGGCTCTGAGATCAAGCTTGATTCAATTCTTCGCGTACGAGCCAGAATTTTCGAAGGACTATTGCCTTGAGCGTCTATCAAGCCCTCAACGATGGGAAAGAGCAAGATGGACGACGCTGCGGCTGCGCGTATCCGCAAAGCCCGCGGTGACAAAGTAAATTCCCCGAGGATTTTGTGCCATGAGGTGGACTTCCTCAAAGACAGACAGCTAAACATGACAGGACGACTTCGCTAAGCGTGCCACCATGGCTGCTCAGGCCAATAGAGATAGGGAGGCGTCAAGTAGAAGAGAGCAGAAGGGTGGCTACTCGGGCAGTGGAAGTAAACAGGAAGGGGTAAGAACGAAATAAAGCCCTAGGCCTCTTCAGGGCAGGCAGGGCAACGTACGCTATCAGGATACAGTAATGATAGATTGGAATGCAATTTGCACGACCCGTGCCAAGTCCAGGTCTCTCGGTAGTAAACCAATTGCTGAACCATGAACAAGCAGACGACTAACAGAAGAGAGGGGTTCGATGAAGGATACGGGAAAAGAAAGCTAGGCAGGGCAGGTTCGGTGAGTGTCTCTGGTGGGTTGCAGATTCCACGAGGGGTATGGCGGAGAAGAGAAAAGAGATTACTGAAACGCACAGTTAGTTCACCGGTCTCGGTCATGGCTTGCGGGACCCGTGGGAGAAGAGAGGACAGGGGAGAATGGATCAGAACAAAACCAGGGTTGCTCGAAAATGACTGGGACGACCCAAGTGGCTGGAATTTCGGGGAGTCCAAATCGGACGTTAGTAGCCAGGATCAGTGCTGTGAGATAAACTAAAGGGATGCCGGGGTCCGCCAGATGGTAGACGTTGCCATTGGTCTGGAGAAAGAAGATCACATACGGGGCCGTTGAAGGGCGTCGGGGCCAGATAGGTGCCTAATGTATACTAGGAATGGCGGGATGAGGAGACACCATTCAGACATCTTGTGAGGGTGTGCGGGTGCGCGGGTGCGCAGGTGTTTTGCAGCCCGAAAGAGAAGGCTCTGGTCCCCGACTGCAAGACGAAGAAGCCTCCATGGATATGACGGATGCTGCGGCGTACGGGCGTAAGGCCGCGGAATTCCTCATGCGATTGAGAGACCGTTGCCGACAGTTGGAAGCATCCTGACAGCAACTGAGGGGTGGCGTTGTGGAAGGAGGGCGTTGAGACCAAGGAGGAAACTTGGGACCCATAAAGACAAATGGAACGTTTGGATGGAGTGGAGGCTTTGTGTTTTGAGAAAAAGAAAGGTGAAAGTAAAGGAGGCGTACGGATATTGCGAACAGGAAAGGCTGCCAGCTTTGGTTCTGCATGGCCTGCGATTGGAGACGACGGGAAGCAATTGCAGATGCGCGTATGATGCTTTGGTGCATACAGAGTTCCTACCTTATTAGTGTGCCATGCAGATAATGAGGCCGACACCTACTGCGTACTAAAGTATGCAGTACGTGCTAAATAATTGAGCCGGGCCCGATCGTCTGTAGTCCCGTCCCCTCGGTGGCGTACGAATAGGAAAGGTCGGGTAAGGTACCTAAGGTACCCAAGGTAAGGTATCGCACGGGATGCATCAAACCCCCTGCACCGGCTCCTGCACCCGCCTGTTTTCTGACGTCTTGCTGCTTGCCAGCCTGCCTCACCTCACCCGTCCTATGTAGGTACAACCTACTTACTACCTCACCCCCGCCGAGCAGCATATCTTCACCTTTGAGTCTGTGTTTTCTCCGCCTTGATCCCCCGATTAATCTCCGTCGCCCAAGTTTTGTTTTTTTGGTCTTTTCACGGCCAGTCTTATCGCGACTCAGGTGTGAAGCCATCTGCAACTCCGGTCCAGAGCCGGGCCTCCTTCAGAGCCACGGCCAGAGCCTCACCGCACTGCGTTTGCCAGCCCAATCCACCGCTCTAGCCCTACCCGACCGATTTTCACATCCAACTTTGCAGTCTTAGGACATGTCACTTCTGTAGTCTCGCACCGTATCCGTATCTCTTCCCCGCACCAGTAATCATGGATGTTGGTATACAGCGAGCTCTGAACGACAAACTTTACGACAAACGGAAAGTTGGAGCACTCGAGTATGCAACCCCTCCCCTGAACGGGATCTGGCCTCTATCTTCTCCTTTTCGCCATCTTCCATGACCCCCCCCTGTTAGCTGACATCCCACTCTGTCTAGACTCGAGCGCGTCATCCGCGAGTTGGTCGTCACCAGAGACTATTCGAGAGTGCAAGCCATCCTCGAGCAGCTATGCAATGAGTTTGCTTACGCTGTTCACCAGCCCCATGCCAGAAATGGAGGTCTGATTGGCCTGGCTGCCGCTGCCATCGCACTTGGTCCTGTAGGCCTACCTCCTCCCTACCTGGACTCTTACATGTTCAACTAACCATGTCTAGGAACTGCCACGTTATTTGGAAAAGATAGTGCCTCCAGTCTTGGCATGCTTTACGGACCAAGATGCCAGGGTGAGGTACTACGCCTGCGAGGCCATGTACAACATTGCCAAGGTGGCCAAAGGGGAGATCTTGATATACTTTAACGATATATTCGACGCCCTCTGCAAGGTAATGCCCCCGCCTAGCTCATACCTTGCCGCACCATCGTTGGGCTGGTATTCTTTTGTTGTGAGCTTGCAATCTGACATGAGTTTCGCGGTTCTTAGCTTGGAGCAGACTCAGAGTTATCCGTCAAGAACGGCGCTGAACTGCTCGACAGACTCATTAAGGACATTGTCTCCGAGTCAGCTGCATCCTACGTATCCGTCTTGGAAGGAGAGTTGGGCCAGGAATTCACCGACAAAGCAGACGCTGAGGATCGCCCTCCTCCGCCGACCGCCTTCTCCCTTCGCCGCTTCATACCTCTTCTCCAAGAACGTGTCTGGGTTATCAATCCCTTCACTCGCCAATTCCTTGTTGGCTGGATTACACTGCTCGATTCTATCCCCGATCTCGAGCTGGTAACATTCCTACCTGACTTCTTAGGCGGTTTGCTCAAGTTCTTGAGTGATCCCAATCGAGACGTTCACGTTGCCACCCAGTCTTGCCTAGACAAGTTTCTCAGCGAGATCAAACGGATCTCGAGAGTTAAGAAGGGCATTGCAGAGAGTAAAAAATCTCGAGAGGGCGGGAAACGCAAACGTGAAGAGTCTGTCGATTCAGGAAGTGTTCAAATTGAGCCCGAAGACGGCGATGAAATCACTTCACACAGCGATGATGAGGGTAGTGGCGAGGAGGACTGGATACCAGGTCAAGATGTCCAAATCAACTACCGAAAGATTCTTGAGATCCTTACAGCTACGCTCGATTCACCCCTTGGTTTGTTTACCTTCTCGCCCCTGGGAACATCGCTCATTCACACTGATTCATCCAATAGAAGAAGATTCCCTGCTGGAATCTCTGCGCTGGATTGTCGAGTTTTTAGACATTTGCCCTGAAGAGGTGTTGCCGTTCACCCCCAAAGTCCTGGCTCATATGCTTCCTGCTATGGCCAGCGGCGTCGAATCAATTCGCCAGGCTGCCGCCCGTGTCAACGCCGGCCTAATGGACTATGTTGTCTCGCTGTCAGACGAGCCCGGAATCGGGGGGCTTTCCCACTCGAACACTCGCATACCTCTTTCCAGTGAGCGCCAAGATGGAGCGTCTAGTGCACGCGCTTCTCTTTCTAGCTCTCGGGATTTGGAAATGAGAAGCCCGACTCCTGCTCAGGGACATAACCGGTCCCTCTCAACACCAAACCCGCCTTCTTCGACCGCTCATCCCCAGGTTGACTTGGATTATGCCGCTGCGGTCAACGCGCTCACGTTGCTATTCCTCAATGATCATGAGGCAACCCGGGTTGCCGCGCTAACGTGGCTGATCATGCTCCACAGGAAGGCGCCTCGCAAAGTGCTCGCCTTCAATGACGGAACCTTTCCAGCGTTGCTCAAGACACTTTCAGACCCAGCTGAGGCAGTAGTAACCAAGGATCTACAATTGTTATCGCAAATCTCTCGCAACAGCGAAGATGACTACTTTTCCAACTTTATGGTCAATCTGCTTCAGCTCTTTGCTACCGACAGAAAGTTGCTTGAGACTCGCGGAAATTTGATCATACGCCAGCTCTGTGTTAGCCTCAGCGCCGAGAGAATCTACCGAACACTCGCCGACTGCATAGAAAAAGAGGAAGATGTGGAGTTTGCCAGTATTATGGTGCAGAACCTGAACAACAACCTCATCACAGCACCGGAGCTTTCGGAGCTTCGCAAGAGGCTCCGCAACTTGGAATCCAAGGTAAACAGATCTTCTCCTTGAGGCTTCACCCTCCAGAGCGCTTACACAACAGTACCAGGATGGTCAGACTTTTTTTGTGGCCCTCTTTCGTTCATGGTGTCACAATGCAGTCGCCACTTTCTCTTTGTGCCTCTTGGCCCAAGCCTACGAACAAGCGTACAATCTCCTTCAGATCTTGTAAGCTCCGTACCCTAGATGTGAGTACCCATGGGATGTCTTACTAACTACATCAGCGCCGAGTTGGAAATGACAGTGAACATTCTGATCCAGATCGATAAGCTGGTGCAGTTAATAGAGTCTCCTGTGTTCACTTGTAAGTGGCCGTTCGTCCGTATTAATATGTCTGGTGGCTGACGATGTCAAGATCTTCGATTGCAGTTGCTGGAGCCGGAAAAGTACCCCCATTTGTACAAATGCCTGTATGGACTTCTGATGCTCCTGCCACAATCCTCCGCCTTCGCCGCCTTGAAGAACCGTCTCAACAGTGTCAGCTCGATCGGCTACCTTCATATTGCACCCAAAGTGTGAGTATTTATGGCAGTTTCTCTCATCACTAACCCATGACCACTTGTCGGCTTTGTCCGGCTTGTAAAAATAAGTGGGCTGCAGCTAACCACAGGCCTACAGAAATCCCAGCCCCGCCACTAGCTCGAGTTATGACAGACCAAACAGGTTGAAAGGCCGAGAGGACGGCATCATCCGTTGGAATGAGCTGCTTGAGAAGTTCCGCAGTGTTCAGGAGCGGGCCCGACGGGCGCAGAGACACTCCGGGGACGTTGACGATAGTCGAGGCAGTCTTGGTTTGACAGACTTGCGCTTGGGAGAAGGAGCGGACATCAAGGGGGGCAAGGAGGCACGTAACCCAAGTGGACCACCGGTTCCAGTGAAGGACCCTGCACCTCCGGCCGCGCCACCTGTTAAGCGAGCTGGTCTGGGGATGCGGGGGATAAGGAACTTGGGCGGTGCAGTTAGGGGTAAACGAGCTGGTTGATGTTGTTGTCTTCGACAAGCGAGTTTTGTCTTTAGCGCGTAGTAATTCTAATACCCTAGTGATGCAAGCTGCAGCGTGTGATGTATGCTAAGCTACAGTAGAAAGTGTTCATCATCGGTCCTTGCGGGGACTCTCGCGTTCGACCAAGCCCTCGAAAATGGTGTCTCGGCGCCGGATAATGGCACGGAGATCGGTGCGAAGATTTTCAAGTTGAAGCCGAGCCCTCTGGACGTCGTCTGGAAGGCTCGAAAATTGGGTAACGTGGGCATCCAATCCTCTCCTCTGGGCCAAGAGCTCAAGATACTTGCTTTCTTCCTGTATGATTTGCTCAATGGCGGGTTGGTCAGAGATGTGCGACTGGTTCGCACTTGAAATTCGGTCCTTCAGCTCGGGCAAACGAGCGGCCATGGCCTTGATTCTCCTTTGCATGTCCAAATTCTGGCGGGCAAGGTCGTTGGTGGGTTTGTAGTCGTCGCTGCGCAGCGTTCGCAGAAGCTCGTCTGCAGTAGTAGACTCTTGCTCAATGTACTTCAGTAGTATGTGCACACGAACTCTCATTTGCTCGAGTTCGGACGCTCGGGCATGGAGATTTATCATAGACCGGCCGAGGGTTTCGGCGTCCGGGCACGCCACGGAAAGCTGGCATGAAAGTGTCGCCATAGAGTTGAGGGCAGTGCTACCCTCTCGGGTGAGGTGATCCTGAACGGCAGTCAGAAGCCTCTCGCGGACGGTGGCCGTTGGGGGCAATTCAGAGAGGCGCGCTTCGGGTTCATGGCAAGCTTCGCTGATTTGATGCAGAGCGGCAGCCTCAGCCCTAGAGACGAGTTCACGTTCCTCATCCGCAGTCTCATTCAGCGAAGCTAGGGCGAGGAGGGCCTTGAGGGTTTCTGGATTCCGCTCAAAAGGCGGGACTGCTCGGCCGTGGAATTTGGCGGTAAGCCAACAGTCAACGTAGTTCCAGTCCTTGGCAGTAGTGGCAGCAATGCGTGCTATTGAGGGAGAAAAGATGGCGGTCGACGGTGGGAGGTGAGACATGCTGACGGAGGTAGAAGGCTGATAGTTGGAGACAGCGGCGAAAGGCCGTGGTTTTTGTTATTGTTGATTTCTATCCTGCAAAGGAAGGCCAGACTGGGAAGGTACAGAGTTTCTCTGGGTCTGGCAAAGCCGGTGACAATACCAGGTGCCGTGATTTGTTCAAAAAGTGGCTTGCGTGCCGATCAGCGTTAAGGTAGCGGCTACCTGACATGGATTCTGGAGACTTCCCAGGTACGTAGCCTAATTAAAGGTAGGTACCTAGCTAGCCACCTACTTGTGTATAGGTACGTTCAGAACGCGTGAAAGTGGGGCAGATCTGTTCTGGACACTTCTTCCACCTTTTGAGCCCAGCCACATCCAATTTATGGAGGTTTACGCTACACTATAAAAATTCTATTTATACTTTAATAGATACTTACTATATATTATAATACTATTTATAATAACTAAGAAAGCTTTAATTTAAGTTTATAAGAATATTATTAATAACTTTAATAGTTTATAAATAACTTACTATATAAGATTATATAAGAAGAAGAATATAAGTTTTCTTCTATTTATTAACTATCCTTAATAAAATTAATTTATTATATCTAAACTTATATTAATTAGAATACTAATTATAAGAATAATTAATAACTAAATAGGAGTAAAGTATTACCCTATTTAGATAGTAAAAAAAAATAAAGATAAGTTTAAATAATTTATTAATAATATTTTTTTTAATATTATAATTAAAAATAATTATAAAAACTACTATTGTTAGTCTCACAGGACCAGCTAGCTAGTAGGGCACTGTGGGCAGCAAATATCGTATTATATTAACTGCGTTAGTGGTGATATGTATAAGGTTAACTGCGTTAGAGGCAGCGGCTGCGATTGCGGCGTTAATCGCAGAGGCCGGCGCTTTACGTAATCGCTAATTACGTAAGGCGCGCCTAGCTCGATTAACGCTACGATAGGCTAGCGTTACTAATACTAGTAACTTTCTCTTTTTATTAGTATTAACGTAGTTAATAGTAACTATAGTATAATTCGAAAAGAAGTTATTAAATAATATATAACGCAAAGAGTAGTAATTACTAGTAATTATAGTAATTACTTATAACCTCTATTGCGGTAGTTACTCTATAACTATTACTTAATCCTACCTTAGGCTAGCGCTAGTAATTAGCGCTGCTTAGGCCTATATAACTTATCCCTCTATCTATATTATTACTAAGTTTATATTAAGGAAGTATATAAAGCACTAGTTAGGCTTTACTTTAGTAAAAGCGTTAGCGAGGTTATTATTACTATTAATCTATTATATTTTGCATAGCTTATAGCATTTATATAACTACTATAGAGCTATAATATTAATTATTAAACGTTTCTCTTTTATAGTACTTAGCTTAATAAAGTACTTATATAGTAAGTATAAGTTAGTATAGATAATAGTAAATATTAGAAGTAAGTTAAGCTATTTAGTAATTATTTAGAGGGTTATAGAGATAGTATAAGCTATATTAACACTAATAACTATATTATAAACTTTAGAGGCTAGTATATTTTAAGTAACTTACTTACTTTTTATTAAACTAAAGTAAATAATATTATTATTAATTGTAAACTTATTCTTATTAGAAGGAGTCTTATTAGTGAGAATAATAGTGAAACTAAGCTATAATATTAGGTTAGTATTATTAATAAATAAGTTATTAATAAAGATAAAGAGTTTAGTAGTTAATAAGTTAATAGGTATAAATATTAACTCTTATATTAGTGAAGCTATCTACTACTATAGTTATACGTTAAGAGCCTTAATATTATTAAGTAAGGGGTTTTAGTATTAGGCAGCAGTTAATAGATTGTAGTATGCCTTAGGCTAGTAAATTAATATAATATATACTCTATGCGTATATTATTTAATATATTGCTTCTTAATAGCGTTAGGGGTAGCGTTAGTATTAATAAGGGTAAGCTTCTTACTTTAACCTTTTTAGTAGAGGATAATAGTTCCTAACTTATTAATACTAATAACGCTATTATTAAATATCAGTAGTTAGTTAATAGTAAGTTATTATTTAGCTTTTACTATAAATAAAGCTTTAGTTAGAGCCTTATCCTCATAAGCTGAGAAACTAATATTAGTGAGGCCTAAAGTATTATTAGTTTATATACTAATAACTATAAAGTTAGGGTTAATAGTAGAAAGGACTAGAAAGTAGGGATTATAGCTTAAAGTAACTATCTAGAGAACTTCTCTATAGTAATAGCTATATATAGCCTATTAGTAAGTACTAGCTTTAGTAATATTATAGAGCAGCTTAATAACTCTTATAATAGTGCCTTCTAGGTATTAGTTATAAATCTAAGTAAGTAAGTGCGTGAGGATCGTTTTATTAAGCTTTATTACTAACTAGATATATACTTATATTATATTATAAAGCTAGAAGATCTTACTAGAAAGTAGTAACTATAGGGTAATAGTAAGGATAAAGTGTTAGCTTATACGCTATATTATTAGAGATTATATTAAAATTACTTCCTTACTATTATTAGTATATCTTTAGATAATAAAGTAGGATTTCTTATAAAGCTTATTAGTGTTCTTACTTTTAATCTTATTAACTATTTATAATTAGAAGATATAGACGTTTATATACTTAATAGGGTTATATATAACTATCTTAAAGATACTTTAATTAATAAGTCCCTTAATTTTAGCTTTATTAGATTACTTAAAAAAGTAGCTAGATATATTAATCTTACTTACTTTATAAAGCTATATAGCTAGGTTAAGGTTAGTATATTCCTTATTAGTTATAAAGATTTTATTAGTAGTAAAGAATATAGTAGTAGTATTAATATTATTAACCTCTAGTATAAAGTTAACGCTAAGGATAGGGTTAATATTAACTATCTTCACTATAAGTATCTATTTTTATAAACTTTAGTATAGCTTGCTTAGGGGTAGTTTTAAGCGTTTTTCTCCCTTATAAGGCTAGCTATATTAGTATAGTAGTAGTAATACTAATGCTAATAATCCTCCTTAGTCTTCTTTTACTAGCGTTATTAATACTTTAGGGGCGTTTAGTAGAGAGTTAGTATTAGTAATATCTTTATCTAAGTTATTATAAAAAAGCTTAATATAAGTTAATTAAAACGTTCTTAGCTTATAAAATAAGTTAAGTATATAATCCTCCTTATTAATAGAGAGAAGCTTATATAAGCTAGCTTAGCTTTTATTCTCACGCTATATAAGAATATCTAACTATAATAAGAGGGTTAGTATTAATAATATACTTAAGCTATTATAGAGGGTGAAGGTATTAGAGACTTAGTACTTAGTATATATATAGTAAAGTTTATTAGTAGCTTTTTATATAGCTTCTTAACGTTTAGTAATACCTAGAGATAGTACTAAATCCTTAGTTACTTAAAGGTAGGCGCTAAAAATAAGTAAGGTTAGGATTAAACTATTAAGTTTAGTAGTATTATTAATAGTCTTAATAGTTATCTATAGGGCTTATTTATAAGGGATAAAAAGGTTTTTAGTATAGATAATATTATAAGTATAGCGTAAAGTAGTATAATAACGTTTAACTTTATTAATACTATAATAAGCCTTAATAAGGACTTCTTTAATAGTAATCACTAAGGTATAAGTAGTATGCTTAAATTTATAGCTATAGAAGTTAGTGCTAGCGTCTATAGTAATAAAATTTAGAAAGCCTTAATATATATTAATCTAATATATATATAAAGCCTCCTAAGTATATTAAGCTAATAGATCTTTAAAGAAATAGGCTATATTAAAGCTAGTAGTATTATTAATAATATAGAGTATTAGTTTATTACTATTAAGATATATAATATTTATAAAGATCTTATAGTTAAACTTATAGTTATTATAAAAGGTGAATCTAAACTTTTTAAGTTAACTAGTATAAAGTTAATAATATTAGTAGACTTTAGTTAGATAGGTAAGAAAGCTTTTATTAACTTTATACTTAGCTTTAATAAGGATATATTAAAGTTTAGTAACTAATAGGTAGCTAAAATAGTAATAGAGTTATTAAAGTTTAACCTCACTAAAGTAGTAATAGGTAATTAACTATTCCTATTAGAGAAGTATCTAAGGATACCTCTATTTATAGATAATTAGAACTTTAAGGTTTTTCTGCTTTATAATGTTATTAAGGTTATTAAATATAACTTCTATTTTATTTATATTATAAAAGTAGTATAGGAAGGGTGTATTTATTAGTATAATATAGAAAGTAATAAGACTAAGTAGTATAGGGACTTTAATAGATCTTAGCGAGTAAATAGGGTTACTAAGGCTAAATCTAATAGTAGCTACTCTTATAGTATTAACTTTAAGGTTTAGTATTAATCGTTAAAGTGTGAGGATTTAGGGTTAGTTTATTATTAAATATTTAGAGGTATTAGTATTAGGCAAAATACCTTAGAAGATTATTAACTTATATTTTCTCTTAAGAGAGAACTATAAAGTATGTTCTCTAAGCTTAACTATAATATATTAATCCTACTTAGTAATAGTATAGAAAGTAGTATTATTACCTAATATATTAGTAACTTTAAAGCTATTAAAAGTGATACTAATAAAGCGAGGAGTAAGAAATTATTAATTTTTATTATCTAAGCCCTCTAATTTATACTAGCTATCTTTAGCGTTAGAGTTATTAATATTAAAAGTACTAAAGTAGTTTAATATATCCTTATTATAGCTATTAATAAGAAGGTTATTAATACCTTTAATATCTTTATATTATATTAAAAAGTGATTAAAGGTAGGGGTAGAAATATCCTTATTAATATATATCTACTTAAAGTAGTTAAAAGCTTTATAGTAATTTTTAGTAGGGTATTTTATTAACTAATAGCTTATTTCGCTATAAATATAGCACTTTTTCTTAGATTTAAGAAGTATAAGTTAAAAGTAATATTAATTATGAGGTATATATAAATAATAGCTAAATTAAGAGCTATAG